GCCATCATAGAAGGTAAAGACCGCATACGGAATGTTCACATCTTCACAGAATTCCCGAACGAACTGCTGCGTCTTGCGAAGATTGTGCCGCGGGATACGAGGATACAAATGGTGAATGGCCTGGAACTGGAGACCGCCATGGAAAAAGTCCAACCAAGGTGGGCAGTCGACGTCCATAGTAGTACGGAGCATCTTCTGGGGGAAAGATTCCAGCGGGCCAAGATCAGCAGTGGACATGGCGTAGTGCGACAGCGTAATCTGTACATGCAGCGGCGAAGTCACCATATGCGAGATCAGAACGAACACGACGCGGTTGAACCAGGTCGGAATGCTACACCAGACAACGCCATACCCGAACCAAATCCAGAAGAAGATGTGGCCGGCGAACTCAAACCAGCGGTGCCACCAGCCCGCACCGTGTTTCGGTCCGCGGCCGACAATGATATGCTCCCAGCTGAGGAAGTAGAGGTTGAAACGGCCGAAGAGAAGGATAGGGTAGTACAGATAGTGCTGGTATTTGACGGTGACCCTGGCCACTGCATCGTATTCCATGATGCGGTCGTAGTAGGTACTGCGGAGCGAGCTGAAGAAGCGGTGCGATAGCGCGAAGAAAGGCATCAGTTCGATATCGGGATCGTGCTCGGGAGCGTTGGTTACGATGTGGTGGACGTTGTGGCTGCGCTTCCACCAGCCTAGGCTTAAGCCGCCTAGGTAATCGGCGATAATCATGCCGATGGTGGTATCAATCTGATAGTTATGCGTGATGCCCATGTGGCCGGCATCATGAGCGGAGAAGACAAGTTGGTGCCAGAAACAGCCGAGGAAGAAGGCAGACAGGCCGAACCAGGAATGCTTGAGGAAAAATACAAACAGCCCAAAGAAGAGGGTGTAGCGAGAGATCTCGATAGCGTAGGCTGTGTAGTTGCAGTTGTATAGCCCTGCTGCGCGGATACGCTGGTGCAGCTCGCGGTATCTCATTGTGATATATTCTTGGTGTTCTGCGTCGAGAGGCGGGTATTTGGATGCATCCAACTCAATCTCCTCTTGAGTTCGAGCATCGATCACGTAGGCTCGTGGTTTAGTTTCTTCTGACGGATAAACAGCGCTGATTGCAGAGGATATTGTTGATACTGAAAGCCTGCGTCTTAGGCCCAATCTTTCGTCTTCGGCTTCGAAGATGGGAGATGGTGGTGCTGAACTCTCTTCACTTGATGTCTCTGAGAGAACCAGGTCTTCTTCGTCGATCTCATTTTCGATTAATGGGCGGAACTCGCCACCTTGGATGGGAGGCAGGAAGTTGGTCCAGCGGCCCTCGATTCGGCCGATTTGGAATTTGCTCATGCGCTGACGGGCTTCCTGTGAATGGAGACTTTCAGAAGGCTATTAGAATAATGCGCAAATTGAATTGGACAAGAATAGAGAGGTGTTAGAGAGACTCACGCATTCACTTCGTCCGTGGCATCTTTGCCAATCATATGTTTGATAGCCATATCACCTCCAGGGTGATATTTAATCCAGGAATCTAGTCTGAGAACATTGCCGTCGACAATGATAATCAACTTTCCTTCAGCAAGCATGCCCTCGATCTCACGTCTTGAGAAGACATTGTCCCTAGCCCGAGCTGGGGTGGACATCTCACTCATTTGATAAGAATCCGATGAGATATGACCGATAGTTGTTTAGGTCAGAAGGTTGTACATGGAAGAAGGATGTGGCGTGAAGACGATTATAATAAATCAATCTCGGGGACATATCCTTTTGCTTTTTTATTCGCGCGATGAATACATTAATCTATTGGGTTACCTACACTTGCATAGCGCCGTAGCGCTAAGACGTCCCGTTCCTCTCGACCCAGGAGACAGAGACAAAGGGGCAGTGTAAATTGGGCTGTCCAACCGAGATGTGGGCACGGGAGAACTCCATGGGGAATGGACAGCGAAGGTCGGGGTGAGTAACGTGTCACAATTGGATGAAGCAGTGTGACACTGTGGCGAAGATGAAATATGGTCCATACGCGTATCTCGTCAACTATACCATACTTTGTATGTCCCGTTTGACAAGCCGAGCTAAAACAAGCTTAAACCTTGAGATGCCCCTGTCGGAAATTGAAACGTTAGATCTTTAGATCCCCCTATCCCATGTAATAGCTCGACTCCACTACATATGGAACATTTCTAAATATTACATACACTATAGCACTAGGAATCCACAGAACATTCTCCATTCCCCTAATAATGAATCCCATGTGGTTTCCCCCTGAGAAACCTTAAAAGACAATGGTATTCGAAAGTGGCCATTCGTATTCGCAATGAGATATAAATCTGGCTAACCTACCTTGGCTACCTTGGCTATTTTGGCTACCGAACCTTCCAAGGTTGGCTAAGAGTAGGAATCCCTCTAACCGTATTTGGTAGAAAACCTTGACACGTGTCCACCCCAAACCCTAGGAAAACATCTCTTGGGCAACTCTATTATTATTTGGGATCAAGGGACCAGATCCCATAAGTTTAGAAATGAAACGTCTGTGAACTGTCGACGCGAAAAGAGCCCTGCCCCTCTATTTCCGCTCGAGCCCCGCATCTGGGGTGACTGGCTAATATCAACTTCCTACTTGAGGACACTTACGTATTCCGTGTCGTTTTTTCTTCTACGTAAGGGCGAAGTGGCCACTTGACTTGCATTGTGTCCTTTCCATTATGGGCCGTGTTGTCATGATCCACAATATGAGGTAACGGCCAAGACGATTCTAGAGGGACAGGATGTTAATGTGGAAAGCGCAAAGCCAAGGCTCCTTTCTTACACTAGAGTCAATCCGTTGTTAGGGGCGGCAAACTCGCACAAGACCATATTAGTCGAATTGGCATTTTAAAACCGGTCACTGGAGGCGACGATGTCACATCAGATACTATATACATAGGACTAGGCTCCCATTTAAATAAAGTAGAGGCGTATTCCTTCGACGCTGCGGTAAAAGACCTGCGTATTTCGCGGGGCAAGATGTCTTCTAGACTGTATCGCCTTCTACTCCGCACCTAGTAATATCTTGGCGTTGGCTTTTTCAGGGGAACCTGTCCTAAAAGCGTCTATGGTGCTACATTGTACGGAGTACTCCGTACAGAATAGGAGACCAACACCCACCACGAGGCGCTTGCGATAGTGAATATCCACTTCTAAATGGAGATTTCTGCGATAGAAATGAGACATATTATTTCGAACTTTACATTTTCCCATGTTTTCGTATTCACATATAATAACCCTGTCTATGAAGGATCTGTAATTTTCGCAGTCAACCATGACTAAGTTGACCAAATAGGGAAATAATCTCGAAAATATCGAATGAAAAAGCTCACCTGAGGCAAAAATATAAACTTCTAACTTAATTCAGCCGAGTACCTTGCCCCTGTCGATTCGAGAAGGCTTGCATCCTAGTCGACAATGGGTCGCTAGGGCCGAATTGCGAGTTAACCTCCCAAGCTTCTTCCGACTGATTCGATTAGCCCGTAGGAATGCTCTGCCGATCAAAGATCAACCCCCCTCTTTTCATCGTTGATAGAGGGAAAAAAGGAACTGCGACGGACTCCCGTCTACTTCAGTCCTTGGAATCCTGCAGCCAAGTCGTTGAGATGTGGATATCTACAACCAATACAATCCCAGCCAGTGCCACACTAGAATCGACAATCTCAGGCCTCCAAAATATGTACGGAGTACTACGCACCGCTATGATGCAACATGGTAACCATTACTTGATGAATGGAACAATCGTGTTTAAAGAAAAGCTAATCGTTCGATGAGCTTCTTGGATGCTTCTAGATTACTGGTTACTAGTCACTTATCAACGATTACAGTTGCTGAATGTAATTTGTCCCTCCAGTGGAGCTCTCCACCTCTGGGCATCCATTGATATACATGAAATTTATAGGGGTCTCTCTCTCTCTCCCTTTGATGGGGAAGGCGATGAAATAGCGCACTACAAGATTGGCCGTCACAGTAGTTTGCGGTCGGCCTGTAGTAGTTGCTCAAAGTGATTTCTTCCCCCGAGAAATGAATTTTCACTGAGACATTATTCGCCTTGTAGAACGCGCGGAGAGGCTGCCGCGGCTGGGAGAGCAACGCTAGTGCTTCGTGGATACAACCAAGTAAGGACACGCGGTTTGTCCAACAATGAGGTTAATGTGGTTGGCTCGCTCACAAGGCAGCTAGATTATATTCTATAATTGTATGCAAAATGAGTGTTCTCCACAGAGTACTTCATACGAATACGAATTTGTTCAATGCAAATGAAAGTATGCTACCTTATACATTGAAGTAAAATCTAGAGAATCTGCCTACGTTCATGTATCTAGTTACTCCATTCCTGGGACTTTCAATAGTCCCATAAAACAAACTTCTAATACAAGCCATTTCCGTAAAAAAAAAGAAAAAATCGACTCGCGATTACGCCTCCCAGCCAGGTTATTAACAGCACCAAGGAACTGAGACAGAGTTGTGTACTATCAGTCAAGCCAAAAATTTACCCCTAATAGAAAAAGAAAAATCCACGAGGTATTCAAAATATACAACAGTATACTATGAGACGGTCCTTGATGGTTCTAATATGTATTTATAGCCATGTGTCTTTAATGACACCTGTGTTATTGCAAATAGGCATCAGATGTGTGTTTGGGCGAATTTTTGAAAATGAGGCTATACAGAGATGGCCATAACCTCGAACACATAATATTAACCTATTGACTGACGTTGAAATAAGTTTAAGGCCATGAAACCCACCCCCAGTAGATTTCGGATCTCAGCGGAAGCTTGGGGAACGCGTCTCAGCGGAACCCCAGAAAACACGAAACATGACACCACAGCCTTCGCAGCTCAACACCTACAACATTCAATAAACAGCAACAAACCCCATCCTCCATAATGTCTGCCTTCGCACCCGAAGATTCAGACAACGATTACTCGTACGCCGAGGTCGACCCCGCGGAAACCTCCACCCCCCAATACCCCAATCAATGAGCGACGCAGACGCCTCGCACAGCCGGGGCCACTCGAATAACCCTCTCTTGGGTAATAATCCGCTCGTTTCAGATCTGGAGCAGGAAGTGCTCGAGGAATACGCTCGATTGCTGCGGAATGTCAACCAGGTACGTGGAGAAGACCTTGTTCGCCTTGATATCATCTTCCTGGGACAAACTCTGCACAGAAAAAGGATATGAACAATATCCTATTGGAAATGATATAAACTGTAAATATCGGTTATACTGGTTACTGATAAATGCCTCGCGTGCAGCTCTCCGATAAACTCGCCGACCTAGCTGGCTCCCCCGCCTCTATGCCTCTCGATGGTCTTCGTCTCCTTGAGCGCAAGACTGCGACTGTATGCACTTTGCTCAAGGCCAGTGTGTATAGCATTGTCTTGCAGCAGCAGATCTGGAATGAGAATGAAGAGCAACAGCAACAACAGCAAAACGAGGATCGGCGTTTCCAGGACCAGGAGTACCAGCATGGAGGATATGAGGGAGAGGGAGACATGACGTTCCAATAAGAAAGGAAGGCATGGGAATCGCCTGTTGCATTTGATGGTTTTTTTTTTTGTTTACTCGCGTATTATACCCGGGGTGTTGTTTCCATGTTTTTGTTCTGGCGCGAATCAGATGGTGTCATGCTAAGGAACCTTGTGATATGTGATTTTCCAGGTATGCTGTGAATAGCTCATGATACCGAGAATTGATGACCCGTCATGTTTAACAACCAACTTATAGAAGTACATGCAAAAGACACAAGAAGAAGAGGAAGGAAAAGAGAAGCATTATATACACGCTGAGATGAAGCAGCTAGCCAAGGCCATGAGCGGCCCTAAATCTTCCCTGCGTAGTACACCTTGCGCACGTCGACAATCTTTCTGCCGAGTGCGTGAGCAATCTGCTCCGGGTTACGCTGGCTCATGAACGCCTGGTAGGCGGCCTTGACTGTGTTCATCTGGTTCCTTGAGCGACCAACTCGGGCGGACAGATCGTGAATACCGGCAGCGCGACACATCTCGTAGATGAGATATTGAACACGGAGTCCGAAGCCTATTATTGTTAGCAAAAAAGAACATGTCTGAGGGAATGAAACTAGGCATACCGGGTGGACGGTGCATCAGCTGCAACTCTGTGGCTCCCACCTTGCCCTTAACATCGCCATAGATTGTTCGGTTCTCGTAGCGGGGAATGGGCTGCATGTTTCGGATCGCACGGTATTGCGACTGGATCTTTGCATCGGAGGCTTCATCAGACTTGGCTTCACCGATACCTAGCAAACCATTTCCGTTACCAGCAATGGAAAGACGGTATGCACGGCGGACCTTTCCTAGTCGGGTCTGGTTGGTGACGCTGTGTGAAACAAGGGTCTTGGTGCGGAGGCCCTTGACCTGGCTCTCCGTGTAGCCCGTAGCCAGGAGCAAGCTCTTGAGGGCGTCTGTCATTTCTTCAGCCGCCGCTGACCGCTCCTTCTCGCCCTTCTCGGCAGCTGTCTTCCGCTCTTCCACGCGGGGCTCATCAATGGTCTCTCCAGGTCCGAAGAGATCCGGAACAAGTGCGCTGTGCGGAGACAGCTCGCTCTCCTCCTTGCCGTGGGTGAGGCGCAAGTTTTCTGCGAACCGAACGAAGTCTGCACCTGTCGTGTTATCAGGCATCTCGGCAAAGAACTGACCGAAGTCCTTCACGAAATCGTCCTCGGTTTTCAGCGTGAAATTGTAATCCGAGTTCGACTGTGGGGAGCGCTGGTGTCGATCAATGCCTGGCTCAATAACCGAGAAGTCGTCGACGTATTTAAATGCCATGGGATCACTGCGTTCGTCCATCTGTTCTGCCAGATCCTTCAGGTCGATAGCGGCTTCGCCGGCTTCGATGGCGGCCATCTGTGCCTCCGAGTACTCCTTGGCGAGCTTAGCCTTCTGCTCTTCCGTGTAAGGCTTGATTTCCTCCACCCGAGGAGCCTTAACATTGGGGAACTTGGGTTTCCGGTTGGAGAGAGACGCGGGAGTAGGATGGAATTGGCGTCGAGGGACTCGCGTGCCTGGGGCGGCAGCACGGGTGAAGCTGCATAAAAGGCATCGTGCCGGCCGTGTAATGTTCATGGTGGCGTTGCTGTGAGCTCACCAGCCAACGGTAGGCCGGTTAAGAGCTTGAAAAATGAAGAAAAGGGCGAAATGCGGAGGCAATTGGAGGACGCAAAGGCAAAAGAGGCCAGCCGGAGGTGAAGCGTCGGAATGAAGTTCTTTCTTGCGGGCGGTCAGTCTCCGACCAATCAACGACGCGTTAGATGCGTTTCTAATAAATTTCTCATTTGATGATTTTCGTTCTAGAAATTATTGTGCTGTCGCTTTTCACCTTACATGTTTGCAATACGGTCATCTGTTCGGCGCTTCACTTCTTCTCTGTCTTCTCAGACCCTTATAGCCCTTCAAGCGCGGCCAGCCTCCAAATTATACCGTCAACGCCGTTCAACGAATGCGCCAGTCCCCGCAATAATGCAGAACGGTCCCAAGAAACACTTTGACGGCAAGCGCAAGAAGGCGAAGGTCGACAAGAACAACAAGAGCAGTGGACATGATGAGGTCCTGCTTTGCGATATAAACCAACTCCTCAAACGGAACGAAACCGAGCAGGCTGAAACCAACGGCGACAGCGTGCCTTTCTCCCTTCCAGAGAAGTTCACCGAGATTGATGTCAAGATTTCTGAGCTTTCCTCAACAGGTGATGGTCTAGCGCTCGCCGAGAATGGGAAATATGTCTATGTTGTTCCGTTCACGGTCCCCGGAGACACCGTACGGGTCAAATTGGTCAAACATTTCGAGTCATTGTCGTACAGCTTGACCGATTTTGTTGAAGTGATCGAACCAGGTCCTCAAAGAAACGATGCGCTGATTGGATGCAAGTACTTCGGGGAGTGTTCTGGGTGCCAGCTTCAGATGATGTCCTACGAGGACCAGCTTGCTCACAAACGGCGCATTGTGGAGAAAGCGTATGCCAATTTCTCTGGGTTGATCCCGGAGCTTATTCCTACCATTGGAGAAACCTTTGCTTCGCCAATGCAATTTGGATATCGAACAAAACTCACCCCTCATTTCGCACATGGTGGTGCAGGCAAAGGTTCTAAGCAGGATGGCGAAGAACCCTCACAACCACAGGTCCCCCCAATTGGATTCACATACAAGAACCGACGACTCGATATGGACATCGAAGACTGTCCCCTGGGCACAGACATTGTGCGTCGCGGACTCACTAGTGAGAGGAAACGAGTTGCGGAGAACATCCGTTCTTATAAACGAGGTGCCACTCTCCTGATGCGGGAGTCTACCGCACGAATTCCCAAAGACGCTGCGCCTACCGCCGATGGAGAGACTCCCAATGTCGGCGGGATTGCCGCTACTCCCAACGCAGACACGGGCGATGTGATCCGCATTGAGCGCGAAAACTACATTGAAGAAAAGCGTTGCATCACAGACAACAACGCGACGTCTTTCGAGTACGTCGACGACTATATCTTTAGCAACAAGGCAGGTGCCTTTTTCCAAAACAACAACTCAATCTTGTCCGGCTTCACAGAGTACATCCGCTCTCAAGCCATTCCTGCAGGCAACGACCAAGACGCAAAACCAATCAAGTACCTTTTGGACGCGTATTCCGGCTCAGGCCTGTTCACAATCACCCTCTCCCCATTGTTTAAGTCCAGTCTCGGTGTCGACATTGGAGGCGATTCCATCGTTTCAGCACGCGAGAATGCTCGTGCAAACAATCTTCCCAACACAGGCTTCGCCGCTGCCGACGCCGCCACTCTCTTCAAGGAAGTTCCGTACCCACCAGATCAGACATTGCTGGTTATTGACCCACCTCGCAAGGGTTGTTCAGAAGACTTCTTGCGTCAGATGCTTGATTTTAAGCCGCGTCGTGTTGTCTATGTCAGCTGTAACGTCCATACCCAGGCTCGTGACGTTGCTGTTATGGTTCAGGGTGATGAGAAGCAGAATGTTCGCTATGAGATTGAGAGCGTCCGTGGATTTGATTTCTTCCCTCAGACCGGTCATGTGGAGGGTGTGGCTATTTTGAACCGCACCTCTTTTCCTCAGGCTGAGGCGGTTTGAGTGAAAAAATCCCAGAAAAGTAATAATATTGAGTCTTTTTAGGCTGTACATTTATCTGACATTGCATACCTCGTGGCGTTTGAGAAGGAAGTCCAAAAAAGCATGATGGCGCTAGTGGATATGTACGCTGTCTAATACATTTTCGGTTTTTGAAAAATTTCAAGATATTCAGGCTACAGACTGCCTATATGCTCTACATTATAAATCGGCTTTGTGCACTGTAGAGAATGCCGCTAACACCCGCAACCCGTTTTGGGTAAAAAGAAAACAGAGAGCAGCACCACCGAAGAAAGATAAGACAACGAACTATGAACAAAAGGCTGAGCTACATCGATTGACAAGTATCTAATGATAAGGTTCACTCATTTTCCCCTTACGAGCTTCCCGGGCCACCAAGCAGCGCAAACCGCCGCACAATGCTAGGACCAATCTCGTCATACTCCGCCTTAGTGTGGCAGTAGCTCCGGAACTCAGGCGTCTGGCCCAGCAGACTACCTCCGAACCAGGGACCGTGGCGCTGGCGCTTGTGAGTGACAACGGCAACATCGAGACCACCACTCCGTGCGCCACCGCTGCGAGCCTCGGAGGCACGGATTCGTGCATCCACCAAGTGACGAATGTCACGCTGTAGACGACGGCCAAAGTCTTTGTACAGAGTAGAACCACCAGACAGCACAATGTTCTTATAGAGACCTCTCCGGACGTCAATGGGGGAGGACTGGATGACACCGTCAACAACATTGGGAAGCGGGGTGAGGAAGTCGGACGAGTAGATTTCGGGGTTGAAGAAAATCTCCGGGGCGAGGAAACGTTCGTATCCAATGTCGATACTTACACTCCGCCCGTTCGGCGCAGTGACGGTGTGCTTCAGGAAGCGATCTGGCTCGCGGTCATAACGTGCGAACTCCTTGACAATATCGGGGCTGACGTAACAGTACTCCTCCTTCACTTTCTCTGCTGTCTTTAAGCTGCTGTCGGGCTCTCCACGGTCACGCAACAAGCTCTGCACGAAATATGTGATGTCTCGTCCGGCAATCGGGATACTCTTGATAGAGGATCCGATGACGTAGCCCTCGGCGACAGGGATAACGTGGGTAACACCGTCACCCGAGTCAATGACCGTTCCAGTCAGGGATCGGTCCGTCACCTTTGAGGATGTCCACGAGGCAGCAAGGGCGAGCACTGCTTGTACAGCAATGTAAAGACCGGCGCAGTTGAACGACTCGAACATGATTTCGGCGGTGTTCTCGCGGTTCTCGGGAGGGTTCAGAGGCTATAATCCAGAAATGTCAGGGGTTTCACAATTTTAAACACAGCACGCTGCTATCATATAAAGTCGCCTTACAGGTTCGGTGAGTAGGAAGTAGTGGTCCTCGGGCTCCACGCGCAGATATTTGAAGATTGAGTTCGACCAGAAT